AATAACCGAAATAGATTTTTAAAAAACCCTCAACTTTAAAATAGAGATGACAGAAGAGAGAGCCCGTGAACTCAGAGAGAGAACGATGGAAGCCGTCTACTCTGAGCAGAGGGTTGGGGGTAGAGTGTGTGAAAATGTTTGCAGAAGTAGTGGCTGAAGACTTCCCAAATTTGGCAGAAGATGTAAGCATCATGATTCAAGAAGCTCAGTGAACACACACAGAACAAACTTGAAGAACTTCACAGCCAGACGCATCATAACCACACTGCTGAAAACCGAAGACAGTTAAAAACCATGAAAGCAAGCATCTGGAGAAAAGCCGCATGGAGGGAACAGCAACGAGAAGGAGTGCGGGTTTCCCATCAGAAACCACGCAGGCCAGAGAAGTAGCATAATATTTTTTAAGTGCTGGGGAAAAAAGAACTGTTCACCAAGAATCCTCTAGCCAGTGAGGTTATCCTTTGAGAATGAAAATGAACTAAAGCATGATAAAGCACCCCACTGAAGGGACGCCGGGGAGAAATCACTGCCAGTGGCCTGCTCCAAAAGAATTGCTAAAGGAAGTTCTTCAGACAGAAGTGATAAAAATCTGGCTGAATATAATAGACTGCTTTCCTCTCTTGAGTTCTTTAAAATGAGTTAATGGTTGAAAGTGAATTTTATAACACTGTCTGATGGGATTTCAGATGTGCACACATGTAATGTATGAGGTCCCTGTAATGGGAAGGGAAGGGCAGGAAAGGGACCGAGACTAGAGGAGCCCACGAAATGGCGGTGCCCTACAACTTGAGCCCACTGGACTGAGTCACAGGGGGGTGGGGGATGGCACGGAGATGCCAGTGCCATTGAAGGGGGACAGGAGAAGGGAGAGCACTTCTTCCTTCTTCACTTATTTGTTATCAGTATAACCCTGATGCTGAAACCAGACAGATGATGCAAAATAAAGGAAAACTACAAACCACAGTTTCTCATGACTAGAGATGGAAGAGATGTGGAAATTCATAACAAGATGTTTGCAAATGTAATTCACCAGTATATAAAAGAATCACACACCGTGACCATGTGGCGATTATTCCAGGAATACAAGGCTGGTTCAGTATTCACATACCGGTCAGCATAACCTATAGGAACAGACTGAAGAAGTAAAATCACATGATTATATCCACTGAGACAGTACAGTGTTTAGCAAGTTTCAGTACCTATTCATGTCCATGTTCCTATAAAAGTGGTGATACCGGACAGTTTCTCCAACATGGTAAAGAACATCTATTTAAAAAATATGACATACTTAACGGCACTGGACTGGATGCTGTCTCCCTTAGGCGGTGAGCAGCAAGGCGAGCAGGTGAGCCGTCACCGCTGCTTGTCCACACAGTGTTAAAAAGCGAGCTGGTATAAGAAGGCAGGGAGATAAAAGGTATGGAGAGCAGAAAAAAGATTGTGAGTGACACAATTATCTGCATAGAAAATCCCAAGGGATCTACAGGAAGAAATGCTAGAACTGAAAGTAGGTTCAGCAAGGTCGCAAGATACATGATCAGTATACAAAAGTCCATTGTATTTGTTTATTAACAGTGAACGCACAGAAACTAAAATCAGAATACAGTGCCGTGTGCAGTCACTCCAAAAATGAAATGCCGGGGTGTAGAACGAACAGATGTGTGCAGGACGTGTATGCTTAAAACTGTAGAACGCGGATGAGAGCGAGCGGAGGGCCGGAGGGCCGGAGGGCCGGAGCGGGGAGCCTCGGTCGCGCCTCCAGGGCGCGGCAGAGGTCGGCCATCCTGGAATCGCGGACGAGTTCTACACGATGGCTCGGCGAGATTATTTGTAAGATTTCTATGGAGGGGCAAAGGAACTGAAATAGCTGAAAACAACCGCAACTGTAAGTGAAACAATTTAAAGGGCAAACTAATTTTACCACAGGCTAATTAATTTAAGTAAGAGTTAAGTTCCTATGGCGTCTCATCGACACTACTACAAAGTGACGCGGCATGGGATGAGTTAACTCTCGGACGCGGTGTGCTGTTTTCTCCTGTACATATAATACATACATGCCTGCGGTAAAGCTTAACATATATAAGTCAGGCACTGAACAAGACGAACAGCAATAACTAATAAAAAGAAATGGTGGGAGGAGCCTGCTGTAGTAAGAGCAGCGTCCCTCCGGAAACGCCTCCCTCCCCCTCCCTGTGAGGAGGCGCGGCGCCGCGCGCCTGCGTGGTGAGGCGGAGAACGCGCGGGCGTTGGGGCGTTGGGACTCAGTGCTGGGGGGCCCTGGCCTGCCCTGCCCTGCCCTGTCGTGCCTCGCGAGCGGGGTCCTGTGCCGTCGAGGTGGCTGGAGCTGCAGGCGAGCCGCGGACAAGGGGGGCTGCTGTTAGGACACTGTCAGGCGCTGGCCAGGAAGCGGAGAAACTGGGTCTCTCCCGTGGCGCTGGAGGGAGTGCGAAGCGGAACGGCCGCCCCGGAACGGAAAACCTAGCACGCATGTGCCGTGCAACCCGGAACCCGGCAGTGGCGCTCGGGGCGGTTACCTCAGCCAAGGGACAACGAGTCCACGTCAGGCCCTGTCCCTGGCTGCTCACTTCAGCTCTGTGTCAAAGGCCCAAACCGCGACGGCCACACATCCCTCAGGCAGGCGGCAGGCAGGCACCGTAGTTCGTCCGCACGCCAGAGCCGCGCCCGGCAGTCACCCGAGCGGGTTGCGGGTGTGTGCGACAGGGGGCTGGATTGCAGGAGCGGTGCGTGGCGCCGAGGAGCCGATCGCAACAGTCGCCTGCTGTACAACCTATTTATGTTACATTCTTAAAGTCACAAAATTGTAGCGATGAAAACATCGGTGGTTGCCGGCCGGCGGGGATGGTAGGTGGGGTGGGGCAAACGTGGCTGCAAAGGGGTCACTTGAAGGGAGCGCTGTGGGGGCGGGCTGACTCCGCATCTTGATCAAAGTGGCATTTCGTGAGTGAACGAGTGTACGTGGGGTAAGAGGGCGCAGAACTAGCGGCACGCACTGTGCGTGTAGTCGTTCTGGTTTTGATACCGGACTGTAGTTAAATAAGATGCAGTGATTGGAGGAAAAAGTGAAGAGTACGCAGAATTTTTATGTACTAACTTTGCAACTTCCTGTGAACCTGTGATGTTTTCAAAATAAAATGTTTTAAAAAAACAACTTGCAAACCACAGCCCAAATGCTGCATAGGTTCGGACAGGCGGCAGGCAGCGGAATGTCCGTTCGGGGGTTTTCGGGGATGCTGACATCAGTACTGAACGCTGCGGCACATCCAGGATAAATGGGTGGTGGCTACGGTGCTTTTCGTTTACTGCTTTGGCTGTTAGGACATAGCAAACTGCTCTAATTTAAAAACAACAACAACAACAAAAAAGGCTCCTATCTCTGTTCTACACCCATTATTTTCATTCTTTACCAAGTCTACAAACATCCCAGGATTATCCAGAAGGACACACGGAAGCAAAGGAGTCATGACTGAGCATCTTACTGTCTAGGTTGGGCTTTGTCTCTGGGACATTTCCCTCGAGTTTCTGGTGCTTCATCCACTCGTGGGGCTTTTGTGGCTGTGGGTGTGTAGACAAGGAGTGTGCACACTTGTGTCTGTTCCAACCGAAGGGGCATGGCAATCACAGTAGCAGAGCCTCGTTGTAACTGGGGCAGCACGGGCTGAGCTTTTCCATGGCACCATTTTGGGTAGTGTTATTCTAATTTTAAAGAATAGATCAGGTGCCCAGGCTCATTTCTTACAAATTCCTGTTCAGAAAATGTTCACTGGTGATTTAAATGTGGTGTTACTATTTAGTAAGCAGTGACAGTGCGCAAGACACTGTTGCCAAAACTTTGCCTTCAGTGCTTCATGGAATTCCCTCAAATAGACGACAGCACTGACCTTCTGTCTCTTCCACACATGCAGGGGCTGGGGCGGGAGAAGGCGAGGTGACCTGAGCCAGGTCCTCAGTTGTATGGCTGGGACTGGAGCCTGGGCGCTGGCTGCGGTGCCCGAGTTACTAACCAAGCGTGTTGGCTGAGTTCACGCTCCTGCCTCGCGCGGCAGCCTGTTCTTGAGAGCCCGGGTCCGTGTCGTAGGGTAGCCAGGCCCCTCGGCACCACAGCTCACCGGAACCCCCGGCCGTGTGTCTGAGGACGGCAGGGCCGTCCAGGAGTCTCTGCCTCTCTGCCCGCAGGTCCGTATTTCAACAGTCTGCTCTTTCTTAGAAAACAGATATCAAGTTACGTAGGTTATGCATGGTTCCAGCCAGCTGGAAGAAATTTCTGCTAAATTAATCCTTTTTTTTTTTTTTTTTTTAATGTCTTGAACAAATCAATATGTTTTATTTGGAAACTAAGGACGATAGTAGCGAAGCAAAGTCTAGGTTTATTCTGGAGTAATTTGTTTGACTTGATTATCTTATCTCTTAAGTATGTCCCACTAGTAATAAATGACAAGTAGCTGGCAAAGGTGTTTGTTCTTCAGAAGTGGGAGTGGACCCGGCCTTATAATTCTCTACTGCGCGACTGGGCACAGCTGGGCACGGCTGGCCCTGCGGTCACGTGGCAGCATACGCTACTGAACGTGTTACCTGCCTCTGAGACTTAGATTCTGTGTTTCCAGTTTCTGTAAAAACAATTAGCAACTTACATCTGTTCCTTTAAGTCCTTTATTTAAATCATGGCCTTTTCCCCACAGTTATTAGCATGTAATTGACCAGGGTGTCCAACCTTCTGCTGTCTCCACGCCAGGACACACTGGAAGAAGAGTTGTCGTCTTGGGTCCCATGTAAAATACATTGTGGCACGTAATCACAAAAAAATCTCATGTTTTAAGTGAATGTACAATTTTGTGTTAGGCCGTATTCACAGCCATCCTGGGCCGCGGGTCAGACACCCCTGTTTTTGACTGTTGTAGGGCTTGACATTTGTACTTAAATGTGTAAAGTAATCTGTGTTATAAAGAGCTTTTGTGAACTGATCTGATGTCCTCTTCTTACAGGAATATATTAAAGGAATCTGTGAACCTGAACTGGAAGAAAGAGAATGTTACCCCAAGGCCATGCACTGCATTTTCGTTGGGGCGCAGAGCCTGTTTCTGAAGAGCTTGATCCAGGACACCTGTGCCGATCTCTGCATCCTGGACACCGGTCTTCTCGGCATCCGAGGGAGCGCGGAAGCCGTGGTCATGGCCCGGAGTCATGTTCAGCAGTTTGTAAAGCTCTTCGAGAGTAACGAGAACCTGCCCAACAGTCAGAAAGAATCGGAGGTGAAAAGGGAATTTAAACAGTTTGTTGAAGCCCACGCAGACAATTATACAATGGACTTGTTGATTCTGCCCACTTCCTTGAAGAAAGAACTGCTGACACTCACACAGGGGGAGGGGGACCTATTTGACACCGGGGGTGACGAGGATGCGGGTGACGTCAGAGACCCAGAGCAGGCAGAGTCTCCACGGGGCGCTGCCCTGGGGCCAGGCGCCGCTGCCGACGGGACAGTCCTGCAGGAGGAGGCGAGGAACAAAGCTGGGACCCCTGTTTCTGAGCTTGCAAAACAAATGGACACCGTCTTTTCTAGCGCGCAAGATGTGCTTTTTGTTCCAATCAACGGCCTGACCCCAGATGCAGAGGCACTTTGCAAAGGCCGGGTTTGTCACAAAAGGCGATCTTCTGACTCTGAAGAAAGGCATAGCAAGAAGCAGTTTTCTCTGGAAAACGTTCCAGACGGGGCGCTCTTGCGCGGTAACAAGACGTCGGCTGGGAGCGGAGCCGTCGACCCGTCTGACTCGTCTCCCGAGGCCGACATTCCAAGTCCGGATGTAAAGGACGCTACTGAGGAGATGGAACACAACATCCTGGTCAACTTCTTTAAAACCATGGGCTATTCCCAAGAAATCGTTGAAAAGGTCATTTGGGAGTATGGGCCATCTACTGAGCCATTATTGCTCTTAGAGGAAATTGAAAAAGAAAACAAACGATTCCAAGAAGACAGAGCGTATTCACCTGGTACTGTGTATCCAGAGACCAACAAAACAAAAAATAAAGGTGTTTGTAGCAGCATAAATGAGCTTGCAGTGGACTCTACTCCAAAGAAAACACAAACTCACGCACAGCAAAATATGGTAAAAAAATCTCCTCAGTTACCATTCAAAGTAGAATCAAAACCATGTACCTCAAATTGCAAAATCAGCGCTTTCAGAGCAGCACCCGTGGAGCTGAAACAAGACCCCTGGGGCCCACACCAGAGCTACCTGGGGAACGTGGACCTTGAAACGGATGGGCTCGCCCCCTCTGTCTCCTCTTCAAGTCCCAAAGAAGTCAGCTTCGTTTCTAGAGGAGCAGCGGGTCACCAGCCCAGGATCCCTATTTTTCCTGAAAATGGCGTGCAGCAGCAAGGAGAGCCCTTGCTCCCAAACGCTCTCAGGGCTGCCTGTGAGAACCGTTCCGGGTGCTGCGGCTCTCCCCAGTCTAAGCCAAATTGTCGGCCCCTTTCTCCACCAGTCCCGCGGCCCCCGCTGTCCCCCTCGGCTGCTGACGCGAGGTTGGTGGGGCCCTGCGATCACATCGACTCCTCGGTCACGGGTGTGCAAAGGTTCCGAGATACTCTGAAAGTGCCCTACAAGCTGGAGTTAAAGAATGAACCGGGAAGGACGGATTTGAAGCACATAGTTATAGACGGGAGCAATGTGGCCATCACGTAAGTCCACTCTGCCCGCTATTGTACTGTCTTGCACGGTGCCCTAGGCCTGGTCCCAGGGTCGCCCAGGATTGCCTGAGTTTGTAGGAACTTCCTGTGCCTCTGCTTAGTTGATCTGTAGGCTTACGGGGTGGGGTGGGGGGGGGGTGCAGGGAACAGTTGATTAGAAAAGCTTTGTTGTTCTACCTTCAAGAGTTGTACATTTGGTCCTCCCTGGGGAACCTTCCGTTCTGGGGGCAGGAGCTGATAGGAAGTTTGTCCTCCCATGTTGCTTTGCCTAGTAATAAGCAGTATAGAGACTTGAAAATCATTAGGCTCCTAGTACCGTGAATGCCCTTGGGTTCGGGATGTGAGGGTGGAGCTGAGGGCAAGACGACCTTCCTGCCTCATTGGCTGCAGCGCGCGGGCGCCCAGCAGAGTGCGCAGGCCAAGGCTGCACTGTGCCTCTCACGCTGCGGCGCTGGGGGCTGCTTCCTGAGGCTCTCGCCCGTTGGAGCTCCCTTGTGGGCCTCTCCTCTTACTAAAAGCTCCTATGTTGGTTTTTAGTAAGAACAGCTAAGTGACCATTTCTGCGTGGCCTTCCTTAGCATCGGAACCCGGGTTCCGATGTCAGGCCCCTGCTAGGAGCTTGGGTTTCCTCTGTGAGGAGCAGTGTGACATCACGGCTCAGAGGAGTGGGAGGGCGGCCGGACTCTCCACCCCACCGGGCACCAGCCGCTGACCTGGGGCAGCTGCCTGCCTGCTGAGCTCACTTGCTCACTTGCTGCTGTCTGTTGCCGTTCGCCCTGTCCTGAAGGATGTCTTCATCATACCAGCAACTGCCAGGTGAAGGCTCCCTCCCAGTTTTCAGAGGCAGTCATTCCATTGACTTGGAAGAAGACCTGAATTTCGGGAAGCAGGGCCCCTGAGCGTGGGATGCAGGAGAGAAGCTGAAAGGTTCCCTGGATTGCTAACGTGTGTGTGGCGCCTTTGCTGGGGGCGCTAACGGATCGGTGAACGTCTTCATTTCATAGGGATGCTTGATGAGATTGAAAATAAGCTTTATTGTTGAAATACATGTGTTTATATAGTTGTTGTTTTTTGTTTTGTTAAGTTTTTTATTAGTGTTTTCAAATAGCTGCACCAGAAGGTAGAGTAGCACAGGGAACCCCACGTCCAGCCGCCCAGCCTCGGTCCTCCTCGCCCACGGCCTGTCTGCCCATGACGGTGCGGCGGCCGTTTTCCTCCACGCCCCACCTGCCGCCATCCACCGTGTCTCCGTGAAGGCAACCTCAGACACACCGCTTCACCCACAACTATTTTAGTACCTGTTTTTGAAAGGATTTTTTTGAGTTTTATTTTTTGAATGAATTATTCATGCTGTCCTTTGCTGAAAGAGCCAGCATTTCATATGTTGGTGTTTGAAGAGTGGCAGTAAAAACGTGGACACTTGTCCTCATTTCCAAGCAGCAGCACTGCTTGCCGCCCTTGTGCCCAGGCAGCCCTTCGGGGAAGGCCCGCAGCATCCGAGCCCGTTGCAGCATGCGGCGCAGCCGCCACAGCCCGAGCCTGGTGGTGTCAAGTGCAGGCCGTGATTGTGAGTAATCGCCGTCCTTTTTTCATTTTTTTGTATGTGGGAAGATTTCCCACATTGGTGTTCGCAGAATAAGAAATGCAAATTAACGTAGAGTCAGGGTGGTAATGACGCAGTTTTAAAAGCCTTTCTGGAGTGGACCTGTATTTCGCAGCTGGGTGGCTGCTTGGGTTTGGAGGGGTCTCTCCGTCCGTGACGGACGCCTCCCCCAGCTGCCCTCCGCCCAGCCCCACGCGCGTGTGTGCCCGTGTGTGAACTCACGCCCTCGGGCACAGTGCTGAGTCCTGCAAACCTGAATCGGTGCGCCCGGACGACCACATGCGGACTGGCCTTGTGGTTTTGAAAACTGATTCTTTTGAGAGGGTGTCAATTTTCTTTGACTTCACAGATGTATAAGTTTAAAAACACCACTTTTACAAAGAAGACAGATTTACAGTTTGATATAGATTGATTTGAGAATATCAGTCATTAAAATTAACTTACTCTGGAAAGAAACTGCTTAATGGGCATAGGGTTTTATTCTGTACTGAGGAAGTGTTTTGGAACGAGATGCAAGTGGCGGTTGTACAACCCAGTGAATGTACTAAATGCCACTGAATCGTTCACTTTAAAAACGATGGTTTTCGTTATGTTCAGTACACCTCAAAATTTTTTTAAAGTTGGAAAAAATTAATCCTCACTCTAAACTGCTTGTTTCCATGTGGAATGAGACTGACAGGCTGCCCCCCGAGGAGCGACTGCCCCCGACCTGCCCCCGGGACCGCCCCTGGGGCCCCCGAGCCTGCCCGCGGTCGGCACCCAGTGGCTCTCTGTTGAATGAGGGCCGTAAAGAGGAGGTGGTGGGAGACCAAGCTTTTTTAGGTGATTTCAGGTTTAGATGATTTCACCCTCCATGTATGATTTGCAATTCCAACGGCTACTTCAATGGTCATTTTAGGTTAAACTTCAACTGGGGCCATATATTTAATTCAACTAATATTTGGAATCTTAAAGCCGAAACTCTTTATGTGTCAGGTACTGTACTTTGTCTTTTCAATAATAACCTTCGCAACAATTTTGGGAGGTAAAAATTATCTGTAATTTATGTAACATAAAATGGCATAGAAACCTCGCCCCGGATTACAGGCGTGAGACCTGGGCTTCTGCTCTCCCTCCCCCTGTACCCCCCCGGGCCCCCCAACCACGAGGCTGGGCCCTGGGGCCGCACACCCCCAGGGAGCCGCAGGAGCCCTGATGGGTGAGCCTTACTCACTTACCCCCGCCCACGGGGAAAGTCGTGAACATGGAAATCTGGGTCTTTAAGCAACAAGGGCTCAGAACCCCACCCCAGGCAAGGCGGCTTGGGCCCACCCATCCCGGGTTTCTGCGAAGCCTTTTGTTTCTTTGCCAGCTGGTGTCGGCATCTGCAGTTCTGACACACACCTTGAGAAATTCCAGAATGCCCTGCAGAGTACTGCTGACTGGACATATCTCTGCTTGGTTTTTCCCCGTTGTCACCGAGAGTGAGTCAGATGATGAGTAACTGGAAATTGTTGGCGGTGTGTAGCTAGGCGTTGCAGCGGGTGGCCGGCCGGCCCTCAGCCCTGTCGGTCCGAAGCTGCAACCCGCGAGCACCGGCCGATCGGGGTAGGTGATCTTGTGTGGAGTTGGGGTTTGCCCCTTCACTTTACCAGAACTGTGTGTTTTAACCAGTTTTCATGCTAGTCTTTCTGTATCAGAGTTCCAGGACTATTCTTATTAAAGTGGAAGCTACAGGAGGAAATTCCTCTCCCTGGGTCATTCAGAAGGGTTTTTCGCTATTTCCCCACACTGCCCTTTCTAGCTCTGTGATTGTCATCACCTTTTACCCGCTCTCTGTCATCTGTCAGCCACCTTCCTTCTGCCTCGGACACTCTTCCTTCTGGGCGGCTGCCCGCGGTCATCCAGGACACAGCCTGCCGCCGCGGGGCTCGCGTCCAGCTGCGGGGCTCGCGTCCAGCTGCGGGACGGCGGGAGATGGGTGCCCCTCGTGGGCCCGATGCCTGTCCGTTCTGCATTTGGGGCCAGGAGCACCCGTGTGGGCCTCCTCGGAGGTTAGAGAGGCGTCTAGAGAGGAGTCACTGTGAGGGTGAGCTTCGTCTCCGCATCAGAGCGAGCGGTGGGGCCGCAGGGGCCCCGAGACAGTGGGCACTGAGTGCGTCCCTGCTGGGGCAGGAGGCGGGGCTGCGGCAGGATGGACCCTCTGGAATGTTTTGAGGGTGACAGTTTGGCTCCACTTGATTTCCTTCTGTGGCTGTATTTTCTGGGTGAATGAATATGTTCTTCCCTAGAGATTTTTGCAGGGTAGCACAAGTCTTTGGATCTTACCACTGAAGGTAACATTTTTGGAAATTAGTTTAGAGCTAGTGTTTCTAGAAACTAGCTCTGAGCTTCCCCTGTAAGCGGGTGAGGGTCCGGGGCAGCAGAGTCTTCTCTGCCTGCACCTCCGTCCTCTGCCTGGGCATCCGGCGGCATGGGCCTGGGCCCTCCGCACCCCGGGCCCCCCGCCCCAGCATCACGGAAGCGCTAAGCAGCAGAGAGGGTGCGTGCACGCTGGGAGCTGGCGGAAGGGGCTGAGGAGGTGCCTCGCCAGCCCGCGCAGCACCCTTCTCTTCCGGGCTTCGTGTCCTTTCCAAGGCGGCTCTGTGTCCCCCGGGCCTGGCGTTTGGGGTTGACATCAGCTCTAGGTCTGTCCTGGCTGCGAAGCCATTAGAATGATTGTTTTTAAAGATTAAAAAAAAAAAAAAAAATACCCCCTTCCATCTACAAAAACTATGTCCGATCTATTTTACTGTAACAAATGTCAGTTGTTACGTTCTTCTTTTTTTAAAGATTTTATTTATTTTTAGAGTGAGGGGAAGGGAGGGAGAAGGAGGGAGAGAAACATCAGTGAACAAGAGATACATCGATAGGTCGCCTCTCCTGTGTCCCCAGCTGGGGACCTGGCTTGCAACCCAGGCATGCGCCCTGACTGGGAATCAAACCTGTGACTTCTGGTTCGCAGGCCGGTGAGCCACACCAGCGGGGGCGCATTGCTATGTTCTTGCCATAGTTTGAATGCTTCTGGATGAACAAACCACTGAATTATTTCATCAGGAATGGGTGTGCTGCGTGTTAACCGGGGCGCGCCCACGCCTGTGCAGTCTCATTTGTGGCTCACTGAGGACACAGTGGGCTCCAGCCTCTAGAGGCATTCCTGAGTCGCTCTTCCGGATGCGAGATGTTGGCTGCATGTCCAATGCCATCCTCCTCCATGAGCACACAGATCACTGGGGACGGCACCCCGTGGGGTCCTCGGATCCTCGGAAGGGCCCAGGCCCAGGGGGCGGAAGCCCGAGTCCGAGGCCCGCTCCCTCGCCCTCTGGCAGTGCAGCCTGGGCGAGTTGCCCCGTCTCTCCTGAGCTGTCCTGCTTGCCTGGCGGGCCTCTCAGTCCAGTGCATCCCCGAGTTCTGTGCCTCAGGCGCCTGGCGCAGGGTAGCAGTTGGGGGGGTTGGTGCGCAGAGGGAGGCTGCGGGCCTGAGCGCTGCAGAGGGCGGAGCAGGGCAGGTGTCTGTACCTGCGCGCCAGAAGAAAGCTGGACCCCCAGGCCAGGTCGGGAGCATGATGACCTGGGGTGTGGGTCAGGCGTGGAGGGGGCGCAAAGCCAGACACTGGGTATGTCTGAGGCCTGGGGCTGCGTTTCAGGGTCAGCCCTGCGGGAGCTGGGGGTGGCTGGGGCCGCACGAGCCCGAGGGGCAGGACTTCCAAGAGCAAGGGACAGCGCCACCAAGCGGTTCTGACAGGGAGACCTCAGGCGCTGGGAGGGGGAGAGATCTGGAGGTGCAGGAGTTCATGTCCCCGGAGCACAGGGGACCGTGGAAGCAGGGAGGGCACGCTGTGCCCGTCTGCGATGGGAGCATCAGAGTGCCAGGGCTGATTGCTTTCCCATCTCATGGGTCAGCAAACGGATTACCACTTGCAAAACTTCAATCTTGTCAGAAACATTTCTTCAACTTTCACTTTTACTTAACTGTCAGAGAATAAAATTTAAATATTTTTTCCTAGTTTCTTTTGGAACATGTCACCAGACTTGGGGGCAGAGGGCATTTTTATCCCCTCTGCCACGGCCGGTCACCACCCGTTGGTGCGAACCGCGGCTCGGGGGGGGGCCCACAGCCAGGCAGAGGACGCCTGTGCCGGCGTCTGCTCCCCACCTCCTGCGTCCTGCCCCACGGGGGGCCTGCCAGGGCTTCAGTCTGTCCGCTCAGCCTCGCCCTGACGCTGCAGCCCTTGTGCCGTGCGGTGCCCCAAAGGGCAGGGAGCCCTCCGCAGCGGGCAGGGCTGGCCCGCGGAGCTCGCAGCCACCTGGGCTTCAGCAGCAGGTCTCCTAGCGGAGTTCGCGGAATGTTCTCAGAGGCCCAGGCAGGGAGCTCTAGGATGGGCTCTCCCTCTAAAAGGCAGAAATAAAAAGTGCCGAAGACAGGTGGCACCCGGAGTGCAGCGTGCCCCTGGCAGGCGGTTGGCACAGGGACACGTCCCGCTCCCGCCTGAACGGGCCCTACCGCTTCCTTACAGCCACGGCCTGAAGAAGTTCTTCTCCTGCCGGGGCATCGCCATCGCGGTCGAGTACTTCTGGAAGCTCGGGAACAGAAACATCACCGTGTTCGTCCCGCAGTGGAGGACGCGGCGCGATCCCAACGTCACAGGTGAGGCTCTCTGGTTCCCTGGGTTTCTGACGGGGCGTGGAAGGAGTTGGCTAGTCATCGCAGCACGCCCCTTCCCGCGGCCTGGGCGGCAGCTCTAAACACACAGCCACGGGCGGGGAGCTCCCGGCAGACGGCCGCCACAGCGCAGGGCAGCGTGGAGAGCGCCGGGCGCAGGGAGGGCCGCCCCGCCCTCCTGAGTGGGGGCGCCGGGAGGGCGCGCTCTGTGGCACAGCGTTTTCTTAAAGCCTTGGACCTTTTCTCTCTCCATTAAGCTGGGTTTCTGCCTTTTTTTTTTTTAATTGTGTTTCCTGCGGTAACGTGGGTTGGTAAAATTACACAGGGTTCAGGGGTATGATTCTATACTACATCACCTGTGCATGGTTTCGTGTTCACCACCCCAAGTCAGTCTGCCTCTTTCTCTTTGTAAAAATTTTATTTTATTTTTTCCCATCATGCTTCTCCAGTATTATTTTTGAAAATGGTCACGTGATAAGTTTGGAACCCTCAAACAGAATGTCATTTTAACGGTCTGCTCAATAGCTAATACAACTCACTTTAGCGCGTCACACTGCTCTGCACGGCCGCCCTGCAGGCCGCACACACAGGCGCCCCCTCACTAGGAGCCCTGAAACATCCCAGAGAAGCCCGATGTGGCTTGTCGCTCGGGCTGCAATGGGAAGGCCCAGCGAAGGGCTGTTTCGGCGGCCCCCCGCAGAGTCCCCGTGCCCAGAGGGAACCGGAAGCAGCAGCAGTAAGCCGGGAGGTGGGAGGGGAGAGCAGGGTTCACCCCCGCTGAAGGGGAGGTCAGCCTTGGCCCCTGCCCCCCAGGGGGCGCTTCCCTCAGCAGGTGCTGGGGGGCCAGGCAGACCCTGCGTGTCCTGTCGTGGCTGTTTTTCGCAGCACAGCCCCTGGAAGAGTCTGGTGGGCCAGCTGTGCGGTGCGTGTCTGGGCAGTAGAGCACTGCGCTGGGCGGTCGAGCTTAAATCGGGGCTGAGCGCCCTCGTGGCGGACGCAGGTGGGGGTCTCCGACCCTGAGCACTTCATTGCTCTTCTGCCCGTGACTGGGTTTCTGAAATGTGGCTCTGGCCCTCCTTTCTCCTCCATCACGGCGCAGCCCTGGGAGACCAGCATATGCTGGCAAGCTGGCTGAGCTGCCGCAGCATCCACCAAAGGGAGGCTGTGACGGGCTCTTGGCGGGGACCCAGCAGGCCTTCCAGGGCCTCCCTCTGCCTCTCCGGCACCCTTCCGGGCCCCGAGGGCGTTTGGCCCTCGCTCTTAGTCCTCTACTCCTTGCCCTGTGGCCGTCAAAAAGTCCTAGATAGTAGGACTCATTACAAACAGGTTTGTGGTTCACTTTTGTTAAGAAGCAAATGAGCTGAACCTATTTAAGTTCAAAAATGGCCAGTCAGTTTTTACATTGCATTTGCCTTAGTATATGCTTTGATTGATTTTTGTTTCCCCAGTGAGTTAGTCACAGTGAGTCTCCCTGAGTCAGGGGAACGAGGGTGTCCCCCCGCCCCCACTCTCCCAGTGACGTGTTTGGGGGAACGTTCTTTTACTTAAAACAGCGGAGCCAATAGTCTTTTTCTGAATGTGTATTTAACTTATTCCGCAAACAGAACAGCACTTCTTAACCCAGCTCCAGGAGCTTGGAATATTATCTTTAACTCCTGCTCGGATGGTCTTTGGAGAAAGAATTGCTTCTCATGACGACAGGTATGAAGGCCGTTTTCCTTCCTAAGGCGGGCGTGGGGTGGGGGGGCCAGGCGCCTGCTCCATGGGGCGAGTCGTCGTGCATCTAGACCCACGCTCTGAAAGGCTCGCTTTATTGGGGGGGTGAGAACTTTCATGTGCACGGTCATTAGGGCTGTATGCTTAGTGACCTTTGCGGTGCAGGCGTGGGAGCAGTTTACGTAAGTTGTTCAGTTAGAATTTCTTGGTCTTTTTAAGTAAAACACAACTGGGAATCCGTAAGTAAAAGCAGGTATCAAATGACAGTCCTTCCCAGCACATGCTGAAAGTGACGTCCCCCGGCCCAATGTCCTTGGCTCCCAGGCGCCCCTGGCTCATGGCTGTGGCAGCGCCCACGCCCCAACGTCCCCTCTGCACTGCGGCAGGTGCCAGGGCAGAGCCCGTCCCCTTTGCTTCTTTCTCAGAGCTATGCTGAGCACCAGGCAGGTCCAGCAGGCAGGGCAGGGCCCCTGGGATGCACAGTGCAGACACACTTCTCATCCTGAGCGCCCCCCCGCGCCCCTCCCCGCCCCCCCGGGGCCCAGGCACAACCAGTGGCGTGAAAGCCGGTTCTGCGCTCCCTCTGGGGCTGCGTCAGCAGGAACTGAAGTGGGGGCTGCCTGGCCTTTCCTCTCCTGCAGTCACCCCTTTGTTTGCCCTTGGCTGGGCCATGTACAGCCCTAGTGGGCTTGCCTCGGTGCCCCCCCCCTCCAAAATGCGCCCCGCACAGGAGACTGCGCTGAGCTTGGGACCCAAGCCAGTGGATGGCAGGCAAATGGGTGACCTGTGAGAAGAGGGCCTGGCAGGGGTTGGGGGCCTGGGGAGGGCAGCCCACATTCGTCCAGCCAGGGCCGGGGTGGGGGGCGGGCGGCGGGCACCCTGCCACCCTGGGGAGGACCCCTGGAGGCTCGGGGGCGGGGCGGGGCGGGCTCTCGGCCCAGACCCTTCTGTGCTGCAGCTCGCGCCCCCACCGTCCGCAGATCCGGCGGTGGGTGCCAGCCCTCGGCCAGAGTTCTCGAGTCCTGTGGCCCCGGGCTTGCAGCGGACGGGGTGCCCGTCCGGATCCACGGCCCGTGCGTGCAGAGGCCTCCCGGCCTGTCCTCCCAACTCCCCTGGGGGAACGTCGCCGCTTACCAACTCGTGCCAGTTAGAAATAGTTTGTAAAATAGTCATTGACAAATCCGAAATGCTAAGTCATGTTTACTTCCCGAGGCTTCCTAAGATCTATGAAACTGAGGAAGCTTGTTTTGTTTTGTAATCTCCTTTAAATACGCAGTGCTACTAGTAAGCTAGTAGTTGTTTGTGCCTTTAATTCTAGCGAGTCACTTAGTTTATTGTTTCATCATCTTGTCTGCATTGCCGTAGATAAGTGCCATCATCCTAAGGGACAAAACTCCCACTGTTGCCCTGGCTGGGTGGCCCAGCTGGTTGGAGCGTCGTTTGGTACACCAGAAGGTTGTGGGTTCAATTCTCAGTCGGGGCGTGTATGAGCGGCAACCAGTCGCTGTTTCTGACATCCATCTGTCTCCCTCACCACCACCCGCCCCCCGCTGCCCCCGCTGCCCCCACTTCCTCTCACTAAAATCAATAGACATATCCTCACGTGAGGATTAAAACAAAAACAAAAACAAAACATCACATTATCCTCCCAAATCTCTCAGAGGGTTTGAACATGGATAATCTCCAGCACTGAAACAGAACCCTTTGCACTGTTTAATTCTTACCGTTTTTGTTTTTTTTATCACCATGTATCTTTTTTTTTTTTAAAGGTTTTGTTTTTATTTTTAGAGAGAAGTGAGGGAGGAAGAAAGGGAGAGAAACATCAATGTGTGGTTGCCTTTCACGCGCCCCCTACTGGGGACCAGGCCTGTGCCCTGACTGGGAATCGAACCAGCAACCCCTTAGGCAACGACCATTCAGTTCGTAGGCCGGCGCTCAGTCCACTGAGCCATGCCCGGCAGGGCACGTATCATCCCATAACTTGGATTTGAGTAAATGTGTAACATGGGCCAGACAGAACGGGAGTCTCTTCTTAAGTCAGAGCAGGAGAGGTGAGCCTGCGGGAAAGGGACCTGCAGGACTGGCTGGGCCCGGCAGCTGGTCTCCGCGCCGGAGCACAGGGCCTGACAGCCGAGAACAGCACCGGCTCCGGCTCCCCCACCCCCCACGCTCAGGCCCTTGTGTGCCATCTCACCACCACTGTTGACTGATGAGATGCTTTTTCTAGAAAAATGTATAAACGTGGTATGAGAACCAGATCTTCATTATAACCATGCTAGCCATTTCAGAGTATCGGCATTTCCGGCTGGTCTGCAGTCGACAGGGCTGGACATGCCCGCCTCCCGGCCTGGTTGAGTTGCCCGGTTTCCAGGGGGCGGGGGGATGCGCTGCGTTCCCTCCCAGTGCAGCCCCCTGAGCTGAGCCGGGCCGTCCGCCTGCCCGCTTTAAGCTCTGCTCTGTTTCCGCAGGTTTCTGCTGCACTTAGCGGACAAAACAGGCGGCATCATTGTGACCAACGATAACTTCAGAGAGTTTGTGACTGAGTCAGTCTCCTGGAGAGAGATTATTACAAAAAGGTAATGTTTTCCTCTTTGTCCTTGGTAGAACTATTTCACTGTTCGCTGTCGGGTTGTGCCTGCGTCTCGTTTGTTTTGGGTCCGCCTTGGCCCTGCAGAAAGCAAGATGGAAACCAGAGTGTGCCAGTCCGTGGGCGTGGGGTGGGCGCCGCGGTGCCGCCGGCCGCCCGCCCAGAGGCCGGCGCCCCTGTCAGGAGGGTCGTGCCTTCGTGGCGCCGGCGACCCTGCCGGCTGCCAGCGCAGCAGAAGCGGCCTCCTGGCGCTGAGGGGGCCTCAGCAGGTCGCCGGGCTCCCGCGATTCGCCCAGCTGGGAGCTACGTGGGCTCCCGGTCCGGCTCCCCGGTGGCCGCGTGAGGTGGGCCGCGCAGCAGCACTCAGTTCTCCGCCAGCAGCACGGTGTCCAGGGCGCAGTCCCGTCAGGGCGCCTTCTGCCCAGAGGGAGCATCGGGTCCCACAGCTAAGGCCCCCCACTCTCCCCCAAACACACACCCAGACCCCAGGCACCAGCCCGGCTTCTTGCCAGCCAAGCCCCCCACAGGGCCCCCCCTCCCCCCAGCTCAGAATCAGCACCTGTCACATGTTTGCGTCGTCCCCGGTGCTGCTGGCCCACGAGTGAGAGCCTGGAGGTGCCCACAGCCCTCCTTGGGGGGGCCCACAAAACTCGGATTTTATCTTTAGAGGCGGAGGAGGGAGGGAGGGAGAGACACATTGACTGGTTGCCTCTTGTGTGCCCCCTCCTGGGAACACGACCCGCACGCAACCCAGGCACGTGCCCTGACCAAGAATCAAACCAGTGACCTTTCGGTTTGCAGGCCAGCACCCAGTCCACTGAGCCACCCCAGCCAGGGCGTTAGCTCACCATGTGTTGTAAAAGCACAGGGCTCGGGAACAGCCAGGAGGACGAGAGGCGCAGGGCAGCGTGCGGGAAGGGGCGGGGCTCCGTGCCCCTCCGGGGAGCCCCAAACTCAAGGCACCATCCCATGGCCCCCGGTCCAGAAGCTCAGGGGACCCCGTGCCGTGGGGCCTGTGGGGGCATCATGAGCAGGCTGATGGATTAAACCCCGACCCCTCCCTCTGGGAGGTGGAGGTGTGTAGGGCTCATAGGGCCAATGTCCAGATTGGGTGGGCGGGTGTCCTGACAACCAGCGTCCACCCCTGGGTGCTTCCGAAAGTTACCTGTCACCCCTACAAAACACACCTCCTGCTCACCATGCCTGGGATGCTCTGAGGGCTTCCAAAGCTGTGAGCCAGGAGTTGTGGGTGAAGACCAAATCCACATGAGAGCTGTGTTTTGGACGTCTGCGTGACCAGGTACATGTTTCATATAAACCACAGTATTACTGCAGCTGGGTTTAATAGCAACCGTGACTGCAGGAAAAGGACGTGGCCGAAGTCCGTGTGCGACCGCGCTTCACCTCACAGGAGGAGGGGGGCATTCCTGCTTTTTAACGGCGATGCTTTTGCTTGAGCCTTTGACCATCATAGTTTAACCATCTGTATTGAAAACAGGTTTGAACATCATCTAAAATAAAGGCAGGAGTTGAGCATGCATGGCTCTCGGTCTGTGGTAGGCGATGGCGCCCTCAGGGTCCGGGGGCGCAGGCCTCCAAGACAAAGCACCAGGTGACCGGTGACTGACAGGCGAACGCAGCCGTGGCGGGGGGGGTGCCTAAGAGTGCCAGCGAGCGTGCTGGTGGCTGGGTGCGGACTGGCGCCCCTCGGGGAACACGACCCGCACGCAACCCAGGCACGTGCCCTGACCAAGAATCAAACCAGTGACCTTTCGGTTTGCAGGCCAGCACCTCTGGTGGGCTCCACTGCTGCCCCATGTCTGGTATTTCTATCTTGCTAAGCATTAGGGGGTTATACAAAAATGACATTTTGCTCAAAGTGCCCGGGTAAGAGTTAATTACTATCGTGTTTTGACCCACGTGTTGTTAGTAGCTGAGCCGAGACTCGGCCGCCGACCTCTGGGCACAGCTAGCCAGCCTCCGGTCTTCCAGGCGTTGTTTCTGTTGGGTCTTTGCCCTGGGCTCCTTGTCGGCGTTTACTGGACACATGTCTGTGCGCACCTGCAGGTTTAATGCATTAGGACAAGTCTGCACAGCGAGCCACTGCTTCTAGGGTCCACCAGCAGAAGGCGGAGGCCCAGATCGGGGCAGCAGACATGCACTTGGACTTGCATTTTCTCCCATTTTTCCCGGACTTGCTGACCTGAGATGTCACCTCTGCGCGTATCGTACTGTTGTCCTTTTTTAAAGGCCGCCTTCCATGGCTTCGCCCGTGGACATGTCGTGATGGCCGAAAGCTCTGCTGAAGGAGAGGGTTTATTGAGCTTCCGCTCCCCAGGAAAGGACCAGGGCCAGGGACGCCGAGCCTGCGCTGCCAGCCATAGGGCTGGTGGGTGGGGACAGCGGTCCCGCAGCCCTGGGGTCCGGCGCTTGCACACACCATGTTTGGGGGAGAGAGACGGAAGCTGCTGGAAAAGAACACATGCGGGGGGACGGGCGGGGCAGAGCCCACGCGGGAGGGACGGCGACTGCTTTCGTCGGTGGCATCTGGGCGCTCCGCACGGTGCCCGGAGCCCCCACAGTGAGGCGGAGCCAGCCTGCGGCTGGCCCACAGCTCCGGGTGGACTGCCCGTCCCGCTGTCACCCGCCCCCGCCCCTGTAATTTAACGCGGGCCACCTCAGGGTTTTCTTGTGAGGCGCGTCTTCTCAGAACTGAGAACCGAAGCCTTTGTTGCACACCTGCCGTGTCCTCAGCTGAGTCGGTAGGGCTCGCTTTCCAGAGCGACACTGAAAGTCCTGTCGAAAGGAGCTGCCTGCTCCCCAGGCCCAGAAGAACGGCCGGAAAGCTGTGCCGCGGGGCGTGGGAACCAGCCGGCGCTCTTTCCCCTCCTGTGTTTGCGCCTGTGAAGGGATTAGTCGGGTGCACTTCGGCCCTGGGGGCCTTTAAGCAGCCCTGAGATTTTACAGGTGGATGGCGGCGGGAGCGGCTGCCGCCCGGGGGCCGCACCCCGCGCCCAGCGTCAGCTGCAGCCCTGTCGCCCCTCTCTCCGCAGGCTGCTCCAGTACACCTTCGTGGGGGACATCTTCATGGTGCCCGACGACCCCCTGGGGAGAAGCGGGCCGCGGCTGGAAGAGTTTCTCCGGAAGGAAGCCCCCCTCAGGTAGCGCCCTTGCCGGTGGTCGTGTGTCGGCGCCTTTCTTTCCCTTCTCCGTGCTTGTGTGCAAGCGCTGTCTCTGGAGACTCAAAATGGCATTTTATTTTTTAAAAAAATAGCCTTAGTCCTAGTGCTGGTGCTGTGTCTGTGGAAACGAGTCAGGCAGGCACGCCAGAGCCCAAGACCCTCCCGCGTGGCCCTTCCGGTTTTGCTCCTTCAGCTCTGATCCAGGACTGGGCGGGGCCAGGCCTTTCCCGCGGGTCTGAGAGGACAGAGCAGGCCCTGCCAGCCCCGAGCAGCCGGGCCGCTTAGGCCGCTGTGTGTGCCTGGGCGTCTTTCCACGCTCGTGTCGGCGCCCCCGAGGCGCGCGGTGCGCGGGGCCGCCTGGGTCTCCCACCACCGACGGGAGAGGCTAATGTCTGCCAGTGCCTGACGTTGACTTGAAACTTTCGGTTTTCTTTGTTGTGGTTTAGGTTTGTTGTTTGGGTTTTTGTTTTGTTTTTGACTCATTGCCAGTGTTGTTCCTGTTCCCAGAATCCTCAGGTGTGTGCCTGGGCGGCGGGCCCTGTGACCCAGCCACAGGCCTGGTCTCTCCTTTAAACTAACAGGGGCGGCACTTCAGAGTGTCTGCCGCAGCGCGGGGCGGGGCGCGAGGGGGACGGCCGCCCCCCCAGCCTTCTGGGGCAGGAGGACAGTTCAGTGGGTCGTTCCCAGGCACAAGGGGAGAGCCTTTCTGGGCTCCAGGCTTGGACTGGGGTTGGGAGGCGTCACGCGGAAGACACCAGTGCAGTTTCCCCTCCCTGGTCTCGTGAATCATCTCCCTTTGGAGCCTTCGGGTTGTTACATGGATGAGGCCCTAGTGCCCCACAAGGCCCTGCCTTGTTCCTCCTCCAGACGTCCTACCTTGAAATCCGCTGCTGGGCCTTGAGACCCGAGGCCTGCGGAGGAGCCTCAGGCCCGTGGGTCAGACCTGAGCGCCCTGCCTTGCCACTCGCCCAGCGGCTCCTGACGGGGCGCTCGGCACTGGTGAGGGAGCGCAGCCCCCCGCCCCCGCCCCAAGGGGCAGCACCTGAATCGGCGGGGGCCTCCGGCTGCCTGCAGGGCCCCCCACAGAGCCCCCCACAGAATCAGACCTCTGGGAGAGCAGGGCGCTGCCCCCCTGCCTGTTGGGGGTGCCCAGGTGATGCAGGGGCGCCGGGGTGTCCCGGCGGCGGGCGGGCGGGCGGGCAGGTGAGGAGCTGCCATTCCCTGTCCCCGCTCGTCTGGAGATGCTGCCTGGGCAGTGCCCAGGTCCCCGCTGGCCTTACCGCCCCACTCACCCGGCCTCGCTTCCTTTCACAGAGACATGCAGCCCCTGCTCACCGCCTTGCCGAGCATGGGCCTGTTCGACCCCAACTTCAGGGGCCCGGGCGCCCAGGCAGCCGGCGCCGGCCACCAGCCCCCGGCACGGGCGCAGGGCCCCCCACCGGGCCACTGGCTGCCTCCACAGCCCCGCTTCTCCCCGGGGCCCGGCCTCCCGCAAGGCGTGCCCGGCCCGGCCCAGCGGTCCACCGCCGAGACCGGCGAGCTGCGCGAGGCCCTGCTCAGGATCTTCCCGGACTCGGAGCAGCGGCTGAAGATCGACCAGATCCTGGCGGCCCACCCCTACATGAAGGACCTGAACGCGCTCTCGGCCATGGTGCTGGACTGAGGGCGCCGGCGGGGTCCGCGGGGCGGCGGGGGCGCCACAATGTGAAGAAACCCATCTCCCGGTGGGGTCGCTGTTGTCTTGTACAGAAGAAAAACAGGTGTTTTGTGTATAAAAAATCTGGGTTTTCAAAGCCAGCTTTTTCTATATATAAATTATGCTGCTATTACAGACTTAACATTTTCTGTAAAAGGAAAGTCTACATTTTCTGCCTGTTCAGAACTGTTTAATAGCAGTTACTCTTGAGTGTATTGACATTTTTATGTTTTTTAAACTATTTTCCTTAAAGCTGAAGATATTGACAAATGGATATGATTAGCCTTTCTAAATAAAAAAAATAATAATAAGAGCTGCTTTCCTTAGGGAAAGCAGGACCTCTTAAAGTATATTTTCTTGCGATGACTACATCCCATCCACTAGCAGGAAGTGTGTGCGCCCCTGCCCCCGCCGCCTCCGCCCTCCCGGGACTGGCCTCCCTTGGAGCCGCCTGTGCTCCCGTGGGTCTCCATCGGAGCCGTTGCTGAGTGTGGCCTCCGGGGAGCCACTAGAGGGCACCTCGTGCCCAGCGTTGTTAATGACAGGGCACAGTGGGGCTGACGTGGGGCCTTTGGGAGCTGGAGAAGCACAGCCCTTCTCCCGGCCCCACCCCTGCAGGAGGGGCCGAGCCGCACCCCCCCCACCTGACTCTAGAAGTCACCTCGCAGCCTCCGAAGATAACGTGGGAAGTGAGGACATCGCGGAGACAGCCCCTTACTGTGGTCACCTGTGTCCACAGCCATGGGGGGGCGACCGACGGGAACGTTGTGCAGCTTTGCCAAAAAACGGCTATTTCCAAAGTCACCCCAGCCAACAGTAGTGTTCGCAGCTTCCGTGGACCCAGAGCCCCTGTCTTGATTCTCCCCGCGTCTGTCTCTCCGGTGCCCCCCGCGCTGCCCCTGTGCGCCTCCGGGGGGTGGTACCTTAGTGCTGTGCTCTCCGTGTTGCCCGGGCTCTATGCTGTGAAGTCCTCCTGGGCAGGTAGTTCTGAGCATCCTCACTGATCCCTGGACTTTCAAAGGGCTTTGTATTTTCTACCCCCCTCTCGCCAGGCCTCTCGCAGTCTGTGTCCTGCCCGCCCTGTGGGCCTGTCTCCCCCGCCCCAGAACCCTGCTCTGCAGACCTCTTTGCCCCCCACCCCCGGGGCTCTCCCTCCAGGGGGCTGGATTCTCTCTCCCATCGTTCCTTCTCATAGGCCTTCAGGGCGCGTGCTGCGTGGGACTGGTTGTCGGCTGTTGCTTCAGGGCCGCTGCCCAGGTGGCCCAGCCGTGGGATGGCGGGGTGCGGGGGAGGCTTGAGGAGGGTGAGGAAGGGACCCAAGCCCGGCACAGCCACCTGTGAGGTCTGGGGCTGTCTTGTTGTGACCGTGACCTTCAGGGTCCAGGTGCCAGTGCAGAACTTCTCTTCTGCGTCAGAGAAGGACCCCGGCGGACGCCCCAGGCACCCTGGCACAGCCACAGGTCCGCCTGCAGGGCTGGGCCTCCTCTGGAGCCCGTGGGGCCAGACCGGCTCAGACCCGTGACCTTGGAGTCAAGAACCGTCCACGGGAGCTCTGCCCGCCCCACGGGGGGAGGAGAGCACCACGGCCAAGTGAGAGGGGCACCGAAAAGCTTCACCTGCTGACCTTGATAAATTATAACAGGAAGCGTGACTCACGGGTTTTTCTGCAGTTCATCAAGTTTAGTTGAATTTCGTACTTAAAACCTCCATTTTCAAATGGTTTTGCGCTTAGCCTCTCCTCGACCCTTGTTGGGCTCCAGGATTATTTCTCCGTGGTGCACCTACCGCGGGTTCGTCCTGGGCTGCGCCCCTTCAGGCTCTCGTGCATGGTGGCTCTGTGCCCCGTAGCTCGTGGCCGTCCCGGGAGGCAGGTGCAGGGTTGGGCCGCTGTCCGCCAGCCGAATCTGGGCCCGCCTTCTCCCCAGGCCCAGGCCTCTCCCTCTGGGAGGAGAGCATCTGGCCCTTGTTAGCCTGGGTTTGAGACCCCAGGGGCTGTCGGCCAGAAGAGCCATAAGGGGGCATCTTGGCCTTCCTGAGTGACCACGGAGCCGGGCCTGGCAGGCTCGCCCGTGTCCTGGCTGTGCCGCCGGGGTCCCAGCCCTTGCAGCCCTTGGTGTCCGCGAGAGGAGAAGGGGTCTGTCTTGCTCAGGCCGCAGCCACAGGGCAGTCTGGTCTGCGTCTGGAAACCTGGGCGCTCCAGGCGCCCGCCCCCGCCCCCGCGGCCCTTCCGTGGTCTCGCCACCCGGCCTCTGCTCCTGTATCTCCTGCCCACTCTGTTCAGTTCCTCTGACTCTTGCCACTTCTTCATTGTCTGCCGCCTCGCTATTCCCTGTGCGTTTCAGACCTTTTAGGTTAAAACCAAATAACCTGATTCCCTCTAGGAACCGTCTCTGTTCACTGCCACTGGCCCTCACCCCGTGCCTCGCGCCTCTGCCTGCAAGGTCAGCCCCGCCCACTGCGTGGGGGCGGCCGTCGGTGCCCAGTCTTCACAGAGGGCACCCTCTGCCCATCCTCAGTGTCCACCTGCGGTGACCATGCACTTGACACCACTCACCTTCTTTCGCTGTGACCTGAGGTTTCCTGCTGGCCGCTCTTCCTTTTCCTCTGAGCTGGAGGCCAGTCCGCAGCACCTTCCTCTTTCTTGACAGGTGTCCTCGCTCTCGGGACCAGCCACGGGGCTCGTGGGGTGGGGGCGGCTCCCACGAAAAGCGCGGGCTCCTGGGCATCGCAGAGGTCTTTGCTCGGCAGCTCCGGAGGGAGGCCCAAGTCCGGTGCCCTGCAGGCAGTCCACAGACCGTGTTCTGAGAAACCAGTGCTGCCTGTAGGAACCAACACGTCTCCCTAATTCCGACTGTCCCTCTTGGCCCTTCGGAGCACGTTCCGAGCTCTCCCTGGAGCCCTGGGACACCCTAGACTCGCCTCCAGGCCCTCGGCCTGCATCTGCCTGGCTGCTCTTGCCCGCCTGTCCGCCCTGCTCTCGCGGCCTCCCGGACACCACAGCACTGCTCAGTCCATTCCAGAAATGCCCTCTTTGCAGTCCACGGCCTTCAGTGGCTTGAGACCAGAGTACCCCCGTTCAGACGCCCCTGAGCCTGATCTCCTCGCTGCCCGCGGGGGAGCCACGCTCATCTGCCCGCTTTGTACAGCGCCCTGCCCGCTCATCGCGGCCACACACGTGCTCGGCTCCTGCGGCTCCTGTCCCCCACCCCTGTACTCCCCTTTGCTCTGCTAGCGACACCCCTTCCCCAGGCCCAGGGCCCGCTGGCAACCCTTGCTAGCCTGAAGCTCCGGGCCAGACGCAGCCCGCAGCGTGCGGGGACCCGCCGCGCCGTGTCCCGCTCCTGGCGAACGCCGCTCTGTGGCGTCACTGCAGCCGATTGTACTGCCTCTCACCTCCCTTTCTAGACTGTGAGCTCCTCGCGGGCAGGGACCGTCTGTGTTCATTCTTTGTATTCCCACGGCACCTAGCACAGTGCCTTGCACTTAGGTGCTCAATAAACATCTGCTCAGTTCACCTGGGGAACAGTGCCTTCTTGAGTGTGGCGTCTGGCGAGCCCGGGGACTGACCCCAAGGACCGTGCTGGTGGCAGCTGCGGCGGGCGGTCCTGCCTGCTTCCCTCCTCCCTCCTCCGAGGCTCCGACGCACGTCTGGAGGCCTGGGGTGGGCACACGGGCTGGCCAGGGAGGACCCGGCAAGGTGGCTCCTTCAGCGGGGGCCGGAGGCTGTCACGCCCAGGTCTGTTAGAGGCCATCTCCCACCACAAGGGAGGTGGCCTGTGGTCGAGAGGCCCAGGTCCCAGTTGTCATGGAAACCTGGTGCACCATGGCCTGGCTGGGCTGTCCAGCGCCTCAGTCCAGCACACTTCCCTTCCTCCTCCGCCCTGGCTCCCTTTGGGTGTACATCCCTGGAAATCAGAGTCAGTCAGCCCTGTATCCCTGCCCTCGGCTTGGCAGGGGAAGGCGGGCGGCTCGTGGTGTATGTAGAAAGTCCCCGGGCCGTGTGCAGACAGGACTTGGGACGTTCGCCCCAGACAGGGAACGGTGTGGGACCCGCAGCCCCTCAGGGGCGAACCTCCTTCCTCCCGGGGCGCCCCAGCACCCCCAGCCGGCTGTCCCCTGCCACGCCTCTCGCCCCCTGCAACCTGCTTGCGCTCCAGGTTGTGTCTGAGGCTCCCTTGGGTCAGTTCCTTGCTGGGCGACTCCAGGCCTGTGCGTGTGCGCACAGCCCTTCCCGGCCCTTCGGTGTCCTGGCCCGAGAGGCGGGCCAGAGGGAGCAGCACTCCCCGCCCCAGGGGGTGGCGGGGCACAGGTGTGTCCTGCGGGAAGCCCCAGCGCGGCTCCTGACGGCCCCCATCGGGGTCCGGGCACGGCGGCCGCAGTCGGCAGCCCTGACACACTGTCACCGGCCACCGGCCCTCCCACGTCCCTCCTGGCCCCTCCCCAAATGCTCAGCCGGGTTCTGGACGTGGCCCTCTGCCCCTGCCGGCCCCCCAGGAGCCTCGAGGGGGTGGGGAGGGCCAGGCAGGAGAGGGCGGTGTGTGCGCAGGGAGGCTGGTCCTCGGCACGCCCCCGAGGTCCCCGAGGGGAGAGCCCGGGGCACTGGCGCCGTGGGCGTCCCTCAGAGGCTGCGCTCACACAGCCGGGTGTCCGGGGCCCGGGTGTTGACTTCCAAAGGCCGCGCCACCTTCCCAAGAGGCACGCTGCCTCCGAGGTGACTTGGCAGGCAGGATGGTGCCTGAGAGGATCCCCTGCCCCACCCACAACCGGTGGAGGGTGTCAGCCTGCTGGTCAGAGGGAAGCGAGGGGAGAAAGCTGCCTCCCGCCCCCCGCCTTCCCACACAGTCCAGGGACCCACGTCCAGCCCTGTTCCTGGGGTGAGGGGGTGGGGCACAAGCACGTTTTCAAAAAGAGAAGGTGGGGGCCTGACTGGGTGGCTCAGTCGCTTAGGGCGTGGTCCCGGCCCACCAAGGCAGCCGGTTCGAGCCCAGCCAGGGCACACACAAGAAGAAACCAATGATGCATAAATGAACGGAACAACAAAGTGACATTTCTCTCCCTCTCCCTCACTTTCTAAAACCAATAAATAAAATTTTTTTTAAAAAGAGAGTGGACTGGCCACAGAAGCCGGTTGTAGGGTGTCACCCCGCATCCCCCCCCCCTCCAGTCTCACAGGGGGACGCGCCTCAGGCACACGGCCTTTGATGGAGTTTGAAAACTAAAAGCAGCCTTTTTCTCATCCTGGTTCCAGTGCTGGTGACAGTCACTGGGGAAACTGAGGCTGGACACGCGGGGATTTGCCCGGAGACGGCAGAAGTGCCTGCCGCCGGTGCTGGAGCGGGACACCCAGGGGCCTTGGGGCTCCTTGGGCCAGCCCCTCCCCCCGCCCCTGCAGGTCCCCGGGGAGCCAGCCCTC